TAATTTAAAAATGTCAATTTGTACAGACAATGTATATAAATAAATGTCAATACAATATTTTTTACCAAAATAGTTTGAAGGCGGCATTTAGGACAGCACTAAACTTTGAGGCAAAAAAAACGAGTGCAGTTTTCAAGCATGATTTCCTCTATTTTCCTACCACTTCCCTCACAGCAACTGTTTTCAGCGTCTTCTTTTTGTGATTATAACCGTTATTGCCATGCACTCATTTTCCGTTGCCAGCGTCCACTTGGCAGCCATGGTGCAGCACTGACAGATTGGTAAGAAGAATTCTGGCATGCAATTGCATTTGTTTTCTATTCCTGAAACAATAGGAGAGAGAGCCATATGCTGGGCAGACACAGTCCTGCTGGAACAACAGCTATTCTGACTCTGTTTGCGTCCTCACACCGACGTAGACAAGTTATTCTCATACACTAATGTTTCTCCCATGCTTTGGGAGGCTATTCTTTCATTTTTACCTTTCAATATCAGCGAACCTGATACTAATGCAGCTTACTTGATACAGTACACCATAAAAAGGCCATTTACACAATGAAATCAGTGTCTGAACACCTCAGAAATCTACATCTGAAACAAACAGATGCATCAGAAAACACTATTCTTTTAAAATAGAAAAGACATACACACTGGGATCAAAAAATTGTTCAAATGTTCATCAAATGTTATAGTTAACTAAAAACACTTCATAACTTGAAATAATTAACTGAAATAACATAAAATATAAAAAAAATACATGTATTTTAGTTCAGCTAGTTGGCAAGGGAACATGTATTATTTTTATTTAGTTTAACTTGACCTATTAAAATAACTAATACTTTAAATAAATTAATTGAAATTAAATATTTAAAAATAACTTGACCTATTAAAATAACTAATACTTTAAATAAATTAATTGAAATTAAATATTTAACACACACACACACACACACACACATATATATATATATATATATATATATATATATATATAAATTTTGTTTAACTTGACATATTAAAATATCTAATCCTTGAAATAAATTAACTGAAATAAAAAAAAATTTTTTTAAATCAGCTAGTTGCCAAGGCAACATTCATCATTTGTATTTAATTTAATTTGGCATATTTAAAAAAATAATAATACTTGAAATAAATTAAAATAAAATTATTAATTTATTAATTTTCAGATATATGCTAAGGCTAAATTGATCATTTTTATTTAGTTCACCTTGATATATTAATAATAACTAAATTAACTAATAATAATAATAACTAAATTAACTAATAACTACAACTAAAAAATTTTAATAAAATTGAACAAAAACTGTATAGACATATAGACAAAGCTAATGGAAATAACAAAAACTCACAACAAAATTAGTAAAACCTTAACTAAAATGAAAATAAAAACAAAATATAAAAATTCCTTAAAAAAATATCTCAGTAATGCTAAACTAACCCTGCCTCAGAGGTTTGGCTGGCTTAAGCAAATGAAAGCTTTCTCAATTTATTAAAAGTTAGACAAGGTGTATTTAAAATTGCCTCTGATCAGCAGAGCGCAGTGTTCTGGAATTGCCATAATATGAATCAGGCTTAATATCGCAGGGCAGAGCAAAACGCTGTCGCTCGAAACGTTTCTGTCAGCCATCAGCATTAGCCCCAAGTAATTAATAACTGCCTGGCCGCATTAGTACAGGAAAACACATTATGTCTCCACCGGTAAAAAGTGATGTAGTTTTGACTAGAAAGAGAGAGAGAAAGACTGATTTCCCTCCATAGTCCATCTCCAGTTCTGCAGCTCCGTGGTTTAAATCCAATTTGAACGGAGCACAAGGGTCATAACAGCTACAAGCTACACAGAAGAGGTGAGAAGAGACGACCGGAAGGGAAGGAAATGAGAAAAGCAAGTTTCACTTTACCCAAGCTATTGTAAGATGACAGCCTCTACATTGTCGGACTGTAGAAGATGAGCATCATTGTTTGGCTGGAGCTCGCGGACACGGACCGGCTGGCAGGCAGCTGCTCTTGTTGCCCTCTCGTTATCCTAAAAACACATAGTCCCTGCCCACTTTCTGTAGCGTGCGCCTGTGTTTACCGAGGCTGCAGACACAACTCCTTGGTCACTGGAGTAGAACAAAGAGACTGCGCCAATTTGGCAGTGGGCCGCTGACGGCTCGCTCAGAGTGGCGTGCTTGAAATAACGAGTTTGTATGCAGCATTTGCGTGTAGTGTTTGCATGCTTCAAAATACGGTTCAGCAAGGCTTGTCAATTAAAATGATGCACTATGGGTGGAAAAAGAGCTACGAAAAAAAGTTACTTTGACAAACTTTTAATATTCAGATAATCATATGCAAAATAAAAATAAAAAAATCTTCACCTATTATTTAAAAACAGGTGATATATATGCATATGTCTATGTAAATCAATGTGTATTTGCACCGATATGAAAAAATATTGTATATAATATTTTAAATGTATTGATAAACATGAATATATATAATAATATGTATATATTACTGTACTATTTATACCTATATATAATGTACATCATTCATACACACAGACACACACATTTGTTTTAATTTAAATATTTAATATATAAATAATTGTTATAATTTATATTTTTTACAATAATATTATATCTATATCTAATATTTACACATAATTTTAACACACATAATTTACACAGCTCACACATATACACACACACACATACATATATATATATATATATATATATATATATATATA